TACGTTACCGCTATTTCATTCCTTCTATTACCTGTGTTTCATTCCTTCTATTACCGTTATTTCATTCCTTCTATTACCTGTGTTTCATTCCCTTCTTTACCGTTATTTCATTCCTCCTATTACCTGTGTTTCAATCCCTCCGTTACCGTTATTCCTTCCTTCCATTACCTGTGCTTCATTCCCTTCTTTACCGTTATTTCATTCCTTCCATTACCTGTGCTTCATTCCCTCCGTTGACGTTATTTCATTCCTTCTATTACCTTTGTGTCATTCCCCCTCTGTTACCGTTATTTTCATTCCTTCTATTACCCGTGTTTCATTCCGTACGTTACCGTTATTTCATTCCTTCTATTACCTGTGTTTGCCTGTGTTTCATTCCCTTCTTTACCGTTATTTCATTCCTTCTATTACCTGTGTTTCATTCCCTTCTTTACCGTTATTTCATTCCTTCTATTACCTGTGTTTCATTCCCTCCGTTACCGTTATTTCACTCCTTCTATTACCTGTGTTTCATTCCCTTCTTTACGGTTACTTCATTCCTTCTATTACCTGTGTTTCAATCCCTCCGTTACCGTTATTTCATTCCTTCCATTACCTGTGCTTTATTCCCTTCTTTACCGTTATTTCATTCCTTCCATTACCTGTGCTTCATTCCCTCCGTTACCATTATTTCATTCCTTCTATTACCTGTGCTTCATTCCCTTCTTTACCGTTATTTCATTCCTTCTATTACCTGTGTTTCAGTCCCTCCGTTACCGTTATTTCATTCCTTCTATTACCTGTGCTTCATTCCCTTCTTTACCGTTATTTCATTCCTTCTATTACCTGTGTTTCATTCCCTCTGTTACCGTTATTTCATTCCTTCTATTACCTGTGTTTCATTCCCTTCTTTACCGTTATTTCATTCCTTCTATTACCTGTGTTACTTTCCCTTCTTTACCGTTATTTCATTCCTTCTATTACCTGGGTTACTTTCCCTCAGTTACCGTTATTTCATTCCTTCTATTACCTGTGTTTGCCTGTGTTTCATTCCCTTCTTTACCGTTATTTCATTCCTTCTATTACCTGGGTTACTTTCCCTCAGTTTCCGTTATTTCATTCCTTCTATTACCTGTGTTTCATTCCCTTCTTTACCGTTATTTCATTCCTTCTATTACTGTGTTTCATTCCCTTCTTTACCGTTATTTCATTCCTTCTCTTACCTGTGTTTCATTCCCTTCTTTACCGTTATTTCATTCCTTCTATTACCTCTGTTTTATACCTTCCTTTACCTATGTTTTTCACCCTGTTTTACCGTACGTCTAGCCCTTGTATTTACTGCATCCTTTCACGAAAGTGTGTACATTATTGAGCATCGGTAATGTATCGCTGTCGTTCACGACAAAGAGGAATAATAAAGAAATTTTCGCATTAGTATCTGCACTTGTATGGACAACTGAATCAGCTTGTGTTTGTCTTACAGCGCATCAAGGAGGACACAGGAACAAGGTTCGTCACACCTGGAGGACTGGGCATCTAGTGACTGTGTCGCTGATTGTGGGCATCTGGTGGCTGTGTCACTGATTGTGGGGACCTGGTGGCTGTGTCACTGATTGTGGGCATCTGGTGACTGTGTCACTGATTGTGGGCATCTGGTGACTGTGTCACTGATTGTGGGTATCTGGTGTCTGTGTCAGTGATTGTGGGCATATGGTGGCTGTGTCACTGATTGTGGGGACCTGGTGACTGTGTCACTGATTGTGGGGATCTGGTGACTGTGTCAATGATTGTGGGGACCTGTTGACTGTGTCACTGATTGTGGGCATCTGGTGACTGTGTCACTGATTGTGGGGACCTGGTGACTGTGTCACTGATTGTGGGGACCTGGTGACTGTGTCACTGATTGTGGGCATCTGTTGACTGTGTCAGTGATTCTGGGCATCTGGTGGCTGTGTCACTGATTGTGGGCATCTGGTGATTGTGTCACTGATTGTGGGGACCTGGTGGCTGTGTCACTGATTGTGGGCATCTGTTGGCTGTGTCACTGATTGTGGGCGTCTGGTGACTGTGTAACTGATTGTGGGTATATGGTGGCTGTGTAACTGATTTTAGGCGTCTTGTGGCTGTGTCACTGATTGTGGGGACCTGTTGACTGTGTCACTGATTGTGGGCACCTGGTGGCTGTGTCACTGATTGTGGGGATCTGGTGACTGTGTCACTGATTGTGGGTATCTGGTGACTGTGTCACTGATTGTGGGCATCTGTTGACTGTCACTGATTGTGGGGACCTGGTGACTGTGCCACTGATTGTGGGCATCTGGGTGGCTGTGTCACTGATTGTGGGCATCTGTTGACTGTGTCACTGATTGTGGGGACCTGGTGACTGTGTCACTGATTGTTGGCATCTGGTGACTGTGTCACTGATTGTGGGTATCTGGTGACTGTGTCACTGATTGTGGGTATCTGTTGACTGTGTCACTGATTGTGGGGACCTGGTGACTGTGTCACTGATTGTGGGCATCTGGTGACTGTGTCACTGATTGTGGGCATCTGGGTGGCTGTGTCACTGATTGTGGGTATCTGTTGACTGTGTCACTGATTGTGGGGACCTGGTGACTGTGTCACTGATTGTGGGCATCTGGGTGGCTGTGCCACTGATTGTGGGCACCTGGTGGCTGTGTCACTGATTGTGGGCATCTGTTGACTGTGTCACTGATTGTGGGCATCTGGTGGGTGTTTTATTGACTGTATCCCGGATGAGTGCCGATGCTTTACGTCACTTGTTTCACCTGCTCTTGAAGCGACTATTCACAGGCATTCGTGATGTAGGTACTTTGATTAAAACACCACAATGATGCACTTATGGACGTATGGACGTCCGGACGTATGAAATTATGGGAAAATGCAAAGCCTTCAATTAATGTTAGAAGTGATATAAGTATTAATATTTCCTTTGTTGACCCGCTGTGATATTGCTGAACTATTGATAAAAGCGGAGTAAAACAATACTCACTCATTACAGTACCTGCTTCGTCATCAACTGGTGACATGTACGAAGAAATCCTGGCGAACAAACGGTGCGTGGACAGACAGGAATATGACCTGGTGGACGAAGGTAAGATCTGAGGAAACAGTGCATGGACAGACAGGAATATGACCTGGTGGACGAAGGTAAGATCTGAGGAAACAGAGCGTTGAGAGACAGGAATATAACCTGGTGGACGAAGGTAAGATCTGAGGAAACAGTGCGTGGACAGACAGGAATATGACCTGGTGGACGAAGGTAAGATCTGAGGAAACAGTGCGTGGACAGACAGTAATATAACCTGGTGGACGAAGGTAAGATCTCCGGAAACGGTGCGTGGACAGACAGGAATATGACCTGGTGGACGAAGGTAAGATCTCCGGAAATAGTGCGTGGACAGACTGTAATATGACCTGGTGGACGAAGGTAAGATCTCCGGAAACAGTGCGTGGACCGACTGGAATATGACCTGGTGGACGAAGGTAAGATCTGAGGAAACAGAGCGTTGAGAGACAGGAATATAACCTGGTGGACGAAGGTAAGATCTGAGGAAACAGTGCGTGGACAGACAGGAATATGACCTGGTGGACGAAGGTAAGATCTGAGGAAACAGTGCGTGGACAGACAGTAATATAACCTGGTGGACGAAGGTAAGATCTCCGGAAACGGTGCGTGGACAGACAGGAATATGACCTGGTGGACGAAGGTAAGATCTCCGGAAACAGTGCGTGGACAGACTGTAATATGACCTGGTGGACGAAGGTAAGATCTCCGGAAACAGTGCGTGGACCGACTGGAATATGACCTGGTGGACGAAGGTAAGATCTGAGGAAACAGAGCGTTGAGAGACAGGAATATAACCTGGTGGACGAAGGTAAGATCTGAAGAAACAGTGCGTGGACAGACAGGAATATGACCTGGTGGACGAAGGTAAGATCTGAGGAAACAGTGCGTGGACATACAGGAATATGACCTGGTGGACGAAGGTAAGATCTCAGGAAACAGTGCGTTGACAGACAGGAATATGACCTGGTGGACGAAGGTAAGATCTGAGGAAACAGTGTGTGGACGGACAGGAATATAACCTGGTGGACGAAGGTAAGGTCTGAGGAAACAGTTCGTGTACAGGCAGGAATATAACCTGGTGGACGAAGATAAGATCTGAGAAAACAGTGCGTTGACAGACAGGAATATAACCTGGTGGACGAAGGTAAGATCTGCGGAAACAGTGCGTGTACAGACGGGAATATGACCTGGTGGACGAAGGTAAGATCTGAGGAAACAGTGCATGGGCAGACAGGACTATGACCTGGTGGACGAAGGTAAGATCTGAGGAAACAGTGCGTGGACAGACAGGACTATGACCTGGTGAATGAAGAAAAGATCTGCGGAAACAGTGCGTTGACGGACAGGAATATGACCTGGTGGACAAAGGTAAGATCACGGGAAACAGCGCGTCGACAGACAGTAATATAACCTGGTGGACGAAGGTAAGACCTGAGGAAACAGCGCATCGACAGACAGGAATATGACCTGGTGGACGAAGGTAAGATCTGAGGAAACAGTGCGTGGACAGACAGGAATATAACCTGGTGGACGAAGGTAAGATCTGAGGGAACAGTGCATGGACAGACAAGAATATAACCTGGTGGACGAAGGTAAGATCTGAGGAAACAGTGCGTGGACGGACAGGAATATGAATGAAGGTGAGATCTCAGGAAACAGTGCGTGGTAGGGTTTTATTGTTAGTTGCGTCTTCTCTTTATTTACCATCTTGAAACTAATGAAGAAGTTGTTTTGTTGAAGTTGCCCAAAAGAGGTAAGAAAGGTACACATGAACTTTGTAATTTGCCAGTCCGTCCGTGTCACTTGGCTGGGCTCCACATTACATGTGCTACAGGAGTACGCATTATGTTGTGTGTACATATGTTGTGTGTACATATGTTGTGTGTACATATGTTGTGTGTACATATGTTCAGCTCTTTCGTTATATTCCAGGTGTATCACGGCGACGTTCTGAAGCAAGGTAGGTGTCTCCTCTAGTCTGTGAAACCACTAAAACAACTAAATAACTTCCACCTCGTCGATACGTACTTTTCCCCCACAAACATGTACGTGTGACTCTCTGTTGCAGGATGAAGTCTAGGCGTCGGACAGAAAAACATGAAGGTCGCCGGGAAGGTCAACAGTCTGGTCAGCAAGCAGGTGAGGAGTGTAGAGGAGAGGGGAGGAGAGGGGAGGAGAGGAGAGGAGAGGAGAGGAGAGGAGAGGAGAGGAGAGGAGAACACCTATATGTAAACAGTAATGTTCTTAGCACTACTGGAGCGGTGGAGTAGTCGGGTGGTTAAAGCGTTCGCTCGTATAGCCGAAGGCCAGGTTCGTTTCCCCACATTGGTATAATACCTGAAGCCCATCTCTAGTGTCCCACGACGTGATGTTGCCGGAATATTGCTAAAGCGGCGCAAAACCATACTCACTCACTCGCTCGCTCGTCACGCCGAAGGCCTAGGTTCGACTCCCCAAATGGGTACAAGTTCACTACATACAGTCAACAATCACCCTTGGTTTCAGATTCCACTGCCCCCGACTGTGATAGCAATGTTTACGAAGACTTAAAGAAAACAGGTGTTGAAATCAATCAAGAGAGGGTTCAAGTGGAAGGTAGGGTCATCATGGGTACTGGAAATGATTTTAATGATCAGTCGGGTTAATAATTACATACAGAGCACTTGTGTGAGCGGGATGTTTGTAGTGTGTATGCGTGATGTAAGCAGTGGCGTAAACGTGATATTAGTAGTGCGTATGTGTGATGTTAGTTGTGTGCATGTGTGATGTTACGAGTGCGTATGTGCGATGTAAGTAGTGGTGTAAGCATGATGTTACTAGTGCGTATGTGTGATGTAAGTAGTGGTGTAAGCGTGATCTTAATAGTGCGTTTGTGTGATGTAAGTAGTGGTGTAAGCATGATGTTACTAGTGCGTATGTGTGATGTAAGTAGTGGTGTAAGCATGATGTTACTAGTGCGTATTTGTGATGTAAGTAGTGGTGTAAGCATGATGTTACTAGTGTGCATGTGTGATGTAAGTAGTGGTGTAAGCATGATGTTACTAGTGTGTATGTGTGATGTAAGTAGTGGTGTAAGCATGATGTTACTAGTGCGTATGTGTGATGTAAGAAGTGGTGTAAGCATGATGTTACTAGTGCGTTTGTGTGATGTAAGTAATGGTGTAAGCATGATGTTACTAGTGCGTATGTGTGATGTAAGTAGTGGCGTAAACGTGATATTAGTAGTGCGTATGTGTGATGTAAGTAGTGGTGTTAGCATGATGTTACTAGTGCATATGTGTGATGTAAGTAGTGGTGTAAGCATGATGTTACTAGTGCGTATGTGTGATGTAAGTAGTGGTGTAAGCATGATGTTACTAGTGCGTATGTGTGATGTAAGTAGTGGTGTAAGCATGATGTTACTAGTGCTTATGTGCGATGTAAGTAGTGGTGTAAGCGTGATCTTAATAGTGTGCATGCGTGATGTAAGTAGTGGTGTAAGCATGATGTTACTCGTGCGTGTGTGTGATGTGAGTAGTGGCGTAAGCGTGATGTAACTAGTGCGTATGTGTGATGTAAGTAGTGGTGTAAGCATGATGTTACTAGTGTGCATGTGTGATGTAAGTAGTGGTGTAAGCATGATGTTACTAGTGTGCATGTGTGATGTAAGTAGTGGTGTAAAACGTGATGTTAGTAGTCTGTATGTATGATGTTAATAGTGTGTATGTGTGATGTTAGTAATGTCTATGTGTGATGTGAGTAGTGTGTATGCGTGATGTGACTAGTGTGTATGTGTGATGTAAGTAGTGATGTAAGCGTGATGTGACTAGTGTGTATGTGTGATGTTAACAGTGTGTATGTATGATGTGACAAGTGTATATGTGTGATGTTACTAGTGTGTATGCATTATATGACAAGTGTATATGTGTGATGTTGTGATGCGGGTAGTGTGAATGTGTGATGTTTGTAGTGTGCATGTGTGATGTTACTAGTGTGTATGTGTGATGTTAGTAGTGTCTATGTGTGATGTGACTCGTGTGCATGTGTGATTTGACTCGTGTGTATGTGTGATGTGAGTAGTGTGTATGCGTGATGTTAGTAGTGGGTATGTGTGATGTTACTTGTGAGTATGTGTGATGTTAGTAATGTCTATGTGTGATGTGGCTCGTGTGTATGTGTGATGTGAGTAGTGTGTATGCGTGATGTTACTAGTGTGTATGTGTGATGTTAGTAGTGTCTATGTGTGATGTGACTCGTGTGTATGTGTGATGTAAGTAGTGGTGTAAAACGTGATGTTACTAGTGTGTATGTATGATGTTACTAGTGTGTATGTGTGATGTTAGTAATGTCTATGTGTGATGTGAGTAGTGTGTATGCATGATGTGACTAGTGTGTATCTGTGATGTAAGTAGTGATGTAAGCGTGATGTGACTAGTGTGTATGTGTGATGTTACCAGTGTGCATGTGTGATGTTAGTAGTGTGTATGTGTGATGTGACAAGTGTATATGTGTGATGTAAGTAGTGTGTATGTGTGATGTTACTTGTTTGTATGTATGATGTGACAAGTGTATATGTGGGATGTTGTGATGCGGGTAGTGTGTGTGTATCATGTTAGCAGTGTGCATGTGTGATATTAGTAGTGTGTATGTGTGATGTAAGTAGTGGTGTAAGCGTGATGTGACTAGTGTGTATGTGTGATGTAAGTAGTGATGTAAGCGTGATGTGACTAGTGTGTATGTGTGATGTTACCAGTGTGCATGTGTGATGTTAGTAGTGTGTATGTGTGATGTGACAAGTGTATATGTGTGATGTAAGTAGTGTGTATGTGTGATGTTACTTGTGTGTATGTATGATGTGACAAGTGTATATGTGGGATGTTGTGATGCGGGTAGTGTGTATGTGTGATGTAAGTAGTGGTGTAAGCATGATGTGACTAGTGTGTATGTGTGATGCTACTAGTGTGTATGTATGATGTGACAAGTGTATATGTGTGATGTTACTAGTGTGTATGCATGATATGACAAGTGTATATGTGTGATGTTGTGATGCGGGTAGTGTGAATGTGTGATGTTTGTAGTGTGCATGTGTGATGTTACTAGTGTGTATGTGTGATGTTAGTAGTGTCTATGTGTGATGTGAGTAGTGTGTATGTGTGATGTTAGTAGTGGGTATGTGTGATGTTACTTGTGAGTATGTGTGATGTTAGTAATGTCTATGTGTGATGTGACTCGTGTGCATGTGTGATGTGACTCGTGTGTATGTGTGATGTGAGTAGTGTGTATGCGTGATGTTAGTTGTGGGTATGTGTGATGTTACTGTTGAGTATGTGTGATGTTAGTAATGTCTATGTGTGATGTGGCTCGTGTGTATGTGTGATGTGACTAGTGTGTATGCGTGATGTTACTAGTGTGTATGTGTGATGTTAGTAATGTCTATGTGTGATGTGACTCGTGTGTATGTGTGATGTAAGTAGTGGTGTAAAACGTGATGTTAGTAGTCTGTATGTATGATGTTACTAGTGTGTATTTGTGATGTTAGTAATGTCTATGTGTGATGTGAGTAGTGTGTATGCGTGATGTTACTAGTGTGTATGTGTGATGTAAGTAGTGGTGTAAAACGTGATGTTAGTAGTCTGTATGTATGATGTTACTAGTGTGTATGTGTGATGTAAGTAGTGGTGTAAGCGTGATGTTAGTAGTGGGTATGTGTGATGTTACTTGTGTGTATGTGTGATGTTAGTAATGTCTATGTGTGATGTGACTCCTGTGTATGTGTGATGTGGGTAGTGTGTATGCGTGATGTTACTAGTGTGTATGTATGATGTTAGTTGTGTGAATGTATGAGGTCAGCAGTGGTGTATGTGTGATGAAAGTAATTTCGTAAAGTGATTGTGTAAGTGTTATGCAAATATTTATGTAAGCTCATTGGTATCTTTCAGAATCCACTTTAGCAAGGTATGTTATGTATTACTGAGACTATCACACAATGTTTATTGGTGATTCACGTCTAACACACGAAGTTTATCGCTGATTCACGTCTAACACGCAAAGTTTAATGGTGATTCCCGTCAAACACACAGTGTTTATGGGTAATTCATGTCTAACACACAATGTTTATTGGTGATTCGATCACGTCTAGCACACTGTTTATTGGTGCTTCACGCCTAACACATAATGTTTATGGGTGCTTCATGTCTAACACATGGTGTTTCTAGGTGCGTAAAGTGTAACACACAATGTTTAAGGGTGCTTCACGTCTAACACACAATGTTTATAGGTGCTTCACGTCTAACACACAATGTTTATGGGTGCTTCACGTCTAACACACAATGTTTATTGGTAATTCAAGTCTAACACACGAAGTTTTTCGCTGATTCACGTCTAACACACAATGTTTATTGGTAATTCACGTCTAACACACAATGTGTATTGGTGATTCACGGCTAACACACAATGTTTATGGGTGCTTCACGTCTAACACACAATGTTTATGGGTGCTTCACGTCTAACACACAATGTTTATTGGTGATTCACGTCTAACACACAATGTTTATGGGTGATTCACGTCTAACACACAATGTGTATTGGTGATTCACGTCTAACACACAATGTGTAATGGTGATTCACGTCTAACACACAGTGTTTATGGGTGCTTCACGTCTAACACACAATGTTTATGGGTGCTTCACGTCTAACACACAATGTGTATTGGTGATTCACGTCTAACACACAATGTATATTGGTGATTCACGTCTAACACACAATGTTTATGGGTGCTTCACGTCTAACACACAATGTTTATGGGTGCTTCACGTCTAACACACAATGTTTATGGGTGCTTCACGTCTAAGACACGGTGTTATTTGTTTTTATCAGCAAGTATCGTTGAAGATTGTGTTTGTTGGTAGTTTACATTTAGAGTACAGTGTTGATTCTGCCCTGACACAATGTATTACATTCACAGGCAAGCGGATGTACCTAAAGCTATATATGAGGAACCCGTGAAGAAAGCTGAAGGTGGGTCATCCCTAGTATCTCCGAAGTACACCCTGAATACACCCTGAGTACATCCCCAGTATGTCCTGAGTACCTCCTGAGTACATCCCGAGTACCTATGGGTACAGTCCGAGTACCTCCTGAGTACATTCCGAGTACCTCCTGAGTACACCCCGAGTATCTCCTGAGTACATCTGGAGCACCTCTCGAGTAAATCTCGAGAACATATCAAGTTTACCCCAATTACCTCCCGAATACATCCTGAGTACCTCCCGTGAACATCCCGTGTACCTTCCGAGGACATTCCGGAGGACTTCCAAAGTATATCCTGAGTTCACCCAGAGTACCTCCCGAGAACATACCAGTAACCTTCCGAGTTCCTCCCGAGTACGTCCCAAGTTCCTCCCTAGCACCTCCCAAGAACATCCTGAGTTCATCCACGAGGACATGCCGATTACCTCCCGAGTTCACCCCGAGTACCTCCCGAGTACCTACCGAGTACATCCCGGAGTTCATTCCGAGTCTCCCAAAGTACATACCGAGTACCCCTCCGAGGACATCCCGAGTACCTCCCGAGTGCAACCCGAGTACCTCTCGAGTATTTCCCGAGTATCTCCCGAGTTCATCCCGAGTACCTCTCGTGTACCTCCCGAGTACATCCCTAGTACCTCTCGTGTACCTCCCGAGTACATCCCTAGTACCTCTCGAGTATATCCCGAGTACATCCCAAGTACGTCCCGAGTACCTCCCGAGTACATCCCGAGTATCTCCCGAGTTCATCCCGAGTACCTCTCGTGTACCTCCCGAGTACATCCCTAGTTCCTCTCGTGTATATCCTGAGTACATCCTAAGTACGTCCCGAGTACCTCCCGAGTACATCCCGAGTATCTCCCGAGTTCATCCCGACGCGAGTACCTCTCGTGTACCTCCCGAGTACATCCCAAGTCCCTCCCGAGTACCTCTCGAGTACCTCCCGAGTACATCCGCAGTACGTCCCGAGTACCTCCAGAGTACATCCCGAGTACCGCCTGTGTACCTCCCGAGTACACCCCGAGACGCTCCCGAGTACATTACATCACATTTGAGTCTACTATTGCTTGTCGTAAAAGGCGAAAAAATGAAGAGATCCAGTTTGAGGACGTTATTTATTGCATACAGTGACGGCGTAGAACATTGCTCCTGATATCGACCACTGTATTTTCCGTCTCTCTACTTTTTTCATACTTTTGAGAGCGGTGATTAAAAAAACCAACTGAACTAGAACAAAAGGTTTTCGATATTCTTAAACACAGAAATATCAGCATATTGTTGTAAGATTGTACATGTTTCATTTTCAGCTGCCGATCCCCCTGACGCGGTTGCGAGTTTTTACGAGGAGCTGCAGGGAGCCCCAAAGGGCAACGACACGTATGAAGAAGTTAAGCAAGGTGAAAACTAACTCATTGTAGACCGAAGTCAGTGTAGACCGAAGTCACTGAAGACCAAAGTCAGTGTTGAGGGAAATCAGTGTAGAGGCAAGTCAGTGTAGAGGGAAGTCAGTGTAGACAGAAGTCAGTGTAGAGGGAAGTCAGTGTACACCGAAGTCACTGAAGACCAAAGTCAGTGTAGAGGGAAGTCGGTGTAGACAGAAGTCAGTGTAGAGGGAAGTCAGTGTACACCGAAGTCACTGAAGACCAAAGTCAGTGTAGAGGGAAATCAGTGTAGAGGAAAGTCACTGAAGACCAAAGTCAGTGTAGAGGGAAGTCAGTGTAGAGGAAAGTCACTGAAGACCAAAGTCAGTGTTGAGGGAAGTCATTGTAGAGGGAAGTCAGTGTAGAGGGAAGTCAGTGTCGAGGGAAGTCAGTGTAGACAGAAGTCAGTGGAGAGGGAAGTCAGTGTACACCGAAGTCACTGAAGACCAAAGTCAGTGTAGAGGGAAATCAGTGTAGAGGAAAGTCACTGATGACCAAAGTCAGTGTAGAGGGAAGTCAGTGTAGACCCAAGTCAGTGTAGACAGAAGTCAGAGTAGAGGGAAATCAATGTAGACTGAACTCATTGAAGACCGAAGTCAGTGTAGAGGGAAGTCAGTGTAGAGGGAAGTCAGTGTAGAGGGAAGTCAGTGTAGAGGAAAGTCACTGAAGACCAAAGTCAGTGTTGAGGGAAGTCATTGTAGATGGAAATCATTGAAGACCCAAGTCAGTGTAGACCGAAACCTGAGACCAAAGTCAGTGTAGACCCAAGTCAGTGTAGACCAAAGTCAGTGTAGGCCGAAGTCATTGTAGACCAATGTCAGTGTAGACCGAAGTCATTGTAGACCAAAGTCAGTGTAGATCGAAGTCATTGTAGAGGGAAGTCAGTGTAGATCGAAGTCATTGTAGAGGGAAGTCAGTGTAGATCGAAGTCATTGTAAAGGGAAGTCAGTGTAGATTGAAGTCAGTGTTGACCAAAGTCACTGACGACCGAAGTCAGTGTAGAGGGAAGTCAGTGTAGAGGGAAGTCAGTGTAGACAGAAGTCTGTGTAGATCGAAGTCATTGTAGAGGGAAGTCATTGTAGATCGAAGTCATTGTAGAGGGAAGTCATTGTAGAGGGAAGTCATTGTAGAGGGAAGTCAGTGTAGACCAAAGTCAGTGTAGACCCAAGTCAGTGTAGACCGAAATCAGTGTAGACCGAAGTCAGTGTAGACCGAAATCAGTGTAGACCGAAGTCAGTGTAGACCGAAGTCATTGAAGACCCAAGTCAGTGTAGACCGAAATCATTGAAGACCCAAGTCAGTGTAGACCGAAATCATTGAAGACCCAAGTCAGTGTAGACCGAAATCAGTGTAGACCCAAGTAAGTGTAGACGGAAATCATTGAAGACCCAAGTCTGTGTAGACCGAAATCAGTGTAGACCGAAGTCAGTGTAGACCCAAGTCAGTCTAGACCAAAGTCAGTGTAGACCGAAGTCATTGTTGACCAATGTCAATGTAGACCGAAATCATTGAAGACCCAAGTCAGTGTAGACCGAAATCAGTGTAGACCCAAGTCAGTGTAGACCAAAGTCATTGTAGACCAAAGTCAGTGTAGACCGAAGTCATTGTAGACCCAAGTCAGTGTAGACCGAAATCATTGAAGACCCAAGTCAGTGTAGACCGAAATCATTGAAGACCCAAGTCAGTGTAGACCGAAATCAGTGTAGACCGAAATCAGTGTAGACCGAAGTCAGTGTAGACCGAAATCAGTGTAGACCGAAATCATTGAAGACCCAAGTCAGTGTAGACCGAAATCATTGAAGACCCAAGTCAGTGTAGACCGAAATCAGTGTAGACCCAAGTCAGTGTAGACCGAAATGATTGAAGACCCAAGTCAGTGTAGACCGAAATCATTGAAGACCCAAGTCAGTGTAGACCGAAATCATTGAAGACCCAAGTCTGTGTAGACCGAAATCAGTGTAGACCGAAATCAGTGTAGACCGAAATCATTGAAGACCCAAGTCAGTGTAGACCGAAATCATTGAAGACCCAAGTCATCGTAGACCGAAATCAGTGTAGACCCAAGTCATTGTATACCGAAATGATTGAAGACCCAAGTCAGTGTAGACCGAAATCATTGAAGACCCAAGTCAGTGTAGACCGAAATGATTGAAGACCCAAGTCAGTGTAGACCGAAATCAGTGTAGACCGAAATCAGTGTAGACCGAAATCATTGAAGACCCAAGTCAGTGTAGACCGAAATCATTGAAGACCCAAGTCATCGTAGACCGAAATCAGTGTAGACCCAAGTCAGTTTAGACCGAAATGATTGAAGACCCAAGTCAGTGTAGACCGAAATCATTGAAGACCCAAGTCAGTGTAGACCGAAATGATTGAAGACCCAAGTCAGTGTAGACCGAAATCAGTGTAGACCGAAATCAGTGTAGACTGAAGTCAGTGTAGACCAAAGTCAGTGTAGACCGAAATCATTGAAGACCCAAGTCAGTGTAGACCGAAATCAGTGTAGACCGAAGTCAGTGTAGACTGAAGTCAGTGTAGACCAAAGTCAGTGTAGACCGAAATCATTGAAGACCCAAGTCAGTGTAGACCGAAATCATTGAAGACCCAAGTCAGTGTAGACCGAAATCATTGAAGACCCAAGTCAGTGTAGACCGAAATCATTGAAGACCCAAGTCAGTGTAGACCGAAATCATTGAAGACCCAAGTCAGTGTAGACCGAAATCAGTGTAGACCGAAGTCAGTGTAGACTGAAGTCAGTGTAGACCCAAGTCAGTGTAGACCGAAGTCAGTGTAGACCAAAGTCAGTGTAGACCAAAGTCAATGTAGATTGAAGTGTAGATCGAAGTCTGTGTAGACCGAAGTCAGTGTAGACCGAAGTAAGTGTAGATCAAAGTAAGTGTAGACCGAAGTCTCTGAAGACAGAAGTCAGTGTAGAGGGAAATCAGTGTAGACTGAACTCACTGAAGACCGAAGTCAGTGTAGACCCAAGTCAGTGTAGACCGAAGTCGGTGTAGAGGAAAGTCACTGAAGACCGAAGTCAGTGTAGACCGAAGTCAGTGTAGACCGAAATCAGTGTAGACCGAAATCAGTGTAGACTGAAGTCAGTGTAGACCAAAGTCAGAGTAGACCGAAGTCATTGTAGACCCAAGTCAGTGTAGACCAAAGTCAGTGTAGACCGAAGTCAATGTAGATTGAAGTGTAGATCAAAGTCAGTGTAGACAAAAGAGTAAACCGAAGTAAGTGTAGACCGAAGTAAGTGTAGATCAAAGTAAGTGTAGACCGAAGTCTCTGAAGACAGAAGTCAGTGTAGAGGGAAATCAGTGTAGACTGAACTCATTCAAGATCGAAGTCAGTGTAGACCCAAGTCAGTGTAGACCTAAGTCAGTGTAGACCAAACTCAGTGTAGACCGATGTCAGTGTAGACCGAAGTCAGTGTAGACCAAAGTCAGTGTAGACCGAAGTCAATGTAGATTGAAGTGTAGATCAAAGTCAGTGTAGACAAAAGAGTAAACCGAAGTAAGTGTAGACCGAAGTAAGTGTAGATCAAAGTAAGTGTAGACCGAAGTCTCTGAAGACAGAAGTCAGTGTAGAGGGAAATCAGTGTAGACTGAACTCATTGAAGACCGAAGTCAGTGTAGACCCAAGTCAGTGTAGACCTAAGTCAGTGTAGACCAAACTCAGTGTAGACCGATGTCAGTGTAGACCCAAGTCAGTGTAGACTGAACTCATTGTAAACCGAAGTAAGTGTACACCGAAGTCAGTGTAGAAGGAAGTCAGTGTAGAACGAAGTCAGTGTAGACCAAAGTCAGTGAAGACCAAATTTTAAAGAGTAAACCGAAGTCAGAGTAGACCAAAGTCAGTGTAGACAGAAGTCAGTGTACACCGAAGTAAGTGTAGACAGAAGTCAGTGTAGACCGATGTCAGTGTAGACCCAAGTCAGTGTAGACTGAACTCATTGTAGACAGAAGTCAGTGTAGACCGAAGTCAGTGTAGACCGATGTCAGTGTAGACCGAAGTCAGTGTAGACCAAAGTCAGTGTAGACCGAAGTCAATGTAGATTGAAGTGTAGATCAAAGTCAGTGTAGACAAAAGAGTAAACCGAAGTAAGTGTAGACCGAAGTAAGTGTAGATCAAAGTAAGTGTAGACCGAAGTCTCTGAAGACAGAAGTCAGTGTAGAGGGAAATCAGTGTAGACTGAACTCATTGAAGACCGAAGTCAGTGTAGACCCAAGTCAGTGTAGACCTAAGTCAGTGTAGACCAAACTCAGTGTAGACCGATGTCAGTGTAGACCCAAGTCAGTGTAGACTGAACTCATTGTAAACCGAAGTTAGTGTACACCGAAGTCAGTGTAGAAGGAAGTCAGTGTAGACCGAAGTCAGTGTAGACCAAAGTCAGTGTAGACCAAATTTTAAAGAGTAAACCGAAGTCAGAGTAGACCAAAGTCAGTGTAGACAGAAGTCAGTGTACACCGAAGTAAGTGTAGACAGAAGTCAGTGTAGACCGATGTCAGTGTAGACCCAAGTCAGTGTAGACTGAACTCATTGTAGACAGAAGTCAGTGTAGACCGAAGTCAGTGTAGACTGAAGTCAGTGTAGACTGAAGGCAGTGACTGTAATGCAGTGTACATTGTAGTTAAGGGTAGATATCTTTTAGTTTTATTGATACAATGTTTTTATATCAGTGTGCCATGATGTTCAACTGTCACATGACCCCTTTGCATGATACACTGGATGTTGTGTTTCAGGAAGAGCTGATGACCCTCCAACCACAAGGTAACATGTTTATGTTGCACATCCAACACGCTTCCTCCTTTATAGATAATGTATATGTATACTCGGACATTATTTCATCTGACTAACACAGAATGTACAGTGATATTTTCATACCGACTAACGATGGAAAAATGTTGCAGAGCTCATACCGACTAACATGGCCAATGAGGTATTGTCCATATGACCCCTGAAGATCCGGCGTAGAATAGGTCTTCAGCAACCCTTGACCAAAAGAGTCTGTGCTTGTCGTAGGAGGCGACTAACCGGATCGGGTGGTCAGGCTTGTTGACTTGGTCGTATCCAAATTGTGTGGATCGATGCTAATGATGTCAATCACTGGATTGTCTGGTAAAGACTCGATTATTTACAGACTGCCGTGATATAGCTGGGATATCGCTTAGTGTGGCGTTAAACAACAAACAAACAAACACTGTCCACACCAACTAACAATGACTTCGTGTTTCTGATGTTACAGAGACGCAAGACCTCCAGTACCCTCGAGAAGAAACCTACGGAAGTCAATACGTAACTTACAACTGTATTATCTATCTCTGGGTGATACCCCGTGTATTGTGTATTGTTATAAAAAGTTGCTACAGCAGGTTATGTATAAGTTTAGCGTGAATACAAGAATTGTACTCAATAGACTGATGCACCATACAGTAATAGAATTATACTCAGTAGACTGATGTACCTTACAGTATTAGAATTATACTCAATAGACTGATGTATTTTACAGTAGTAGAATTATACTCACTGGACTGATGTACCATATAGTAGTAGAATTATACTCAGTAGACTGATGTACCATATAGTACTAGAATTTTACTCAGTAGACAGATGTACCATACAGTACTAGAATTATACTCAATAGACTGATGTACCTTACAGTAGTAGAATTATACTCAATAGACTGATGTACCATACAGTAGTAGAATTATACTCAGTAGACTAATGTACCATACAGTAATAGAATTATACTCACTAGACTAATGTACCATACAGTACTAGAATTATACTCAGTAGACTGATGTACCTTACAGTAGTAGAATTACACTCAATAGACTGATGTACCATAAAGTAGTAGAATTATACTCAGTAGACTAATGTACCATACAGTAGTAGAATTATACTCAGTAGACTAATGTACCATACAGTAATCGAATTATACTCAGGAGACTGATGTACCTTACAGTATTAGAATTATACTCAATAGACTGATGTATTTTACAGTAGTAGAATTATACTCACTGGACTGATGTACCTAACAGTTCAGAATTATACTCAGTAGACTGATGTACCATACAGTACTAGAATTATACTCAGTAGACTGCAGTACCATACAGTACTAGAATAATACTCAGTAGACTGATGTACCTTACAGTAGTAGAATTATACTCAGTAGACTAATGTATTTTACAGTAGTAGAATTATACTCACTGGACTGATGTACCTAACAGTTCAGAATTATACTCAGTAGACTGATGTACCATACAGTACTAGAATTATACTCAGTAGACTGCAGTACCATACAGTACTAGAATAATACTCAGTAGACTGATGTACCTTACAGTAGTAGAATTATACTCAGTAGACTAATGTACCATACAGTAGTAGAATTATACTCAGTAGACTAATGTACCATATAGTAATAGAATTATACTCAGGAGACTGATGTTCCTTACAGTATTAGAATTATACTCACTGGACTGATGTATTTTACAGTAGTAGAATTATACTCACTGGACTGATGTACCTTAACAGTTCAGAATTATACTCAGTAGACTGATGTACCATACAGTACTAGAATTATACTCAGTAGACTGCAGTACCATACAGTACTAGAATAATACTCAGTAGACTGATGTACCTTAAAGTAGTAGAATTATACTCAGTAGACTAATGTATTTTACAGTAGTAGAATTATACTCACTGGACTGATGTACCTAACAGTTCAGAATTATACTCAGTAGACTGCAGTACCATACAGTACTAGAATAATACTCAGTAGACTGATGTACCTTACAGTAGTAGAATTATACTCAGTAGACTAATGTACCATACAGTAGTAGAACTATACTCAGTAGACTAATGTACCATACAGTAATAGAATTATACTCAGGAGACTGATGTACCTTACAGTATTAGAATTATACTCAATAGACTGATGTATTTTACAGTAGTAGAATTATACTCACTGGACTGATGTACCTAAGAGTTCAGAATTATACTCAGTAGACTGATGTACCATACAGTACTAGAATTATACTCAGTAGACTGCAGTACCATACAGTACTAGAATAATACTCAGTAGACTGATGTACCTTACAGTAGTAGAATTATACTCTCTGGACTGATGTACCTAACAGTTCAGAATTATACTCAGTATAGACTGATGTACCATAAAGTAGTAGAATTATACTCAGAAGACTGATGTACCATACAGTAGTAGAATTATACTCAGTAGACTAATGTACCATACAGTAATAGAATTATACTCAGGAGACTGATGTACCTTACAGTATTAGAATTATACTCAATAGACTAATGTACCATACAGTAGTAGAATTATACTCAGTAGACTAATGTACCATACAGTAATAGAATTATACTCAGGAGACTGATGTACCTTACAGTATTAGAATTATACTCAATAGACTGATGTATTTTACAGTAGTAGAATTATACTCACTGGACTGATGTACCTAACAGTTCAGAATTATACTCAGTAGACTGATGTACCATACAGTACTAGAATAATACTCAGTAGACTGCAGTACCATACAGTACTAGAATAATACTCAGTAGACTGATGTACCTTACAGTAGTAGAATTATACTCAGTAGACTAATGTACCATACAGAAGTAGAATTATACTCAGTAGACTAATGTACCATACAGTAATAGAATTATACTCAGGAGACTGATGTACCTTACAGTATTAGAATTATACTCATTAGACTGATGTATTTTACAGTAGTAGAATTATACTCACTGGACTGATGTACCTAACAGTTCAAAATTATACTCAGTAGACTGATGTACCATACAGTACTAGATTTATACTCAGTAGACTGCAGTACCATACAGTACTAGAATAATACTCAGTAGACTGATGTACCTTACAGTAGTAGAATTATACTCTCTGGACTGATGTACCTAACAGTTCAGAATTATACTCAGTATAGACTGATGTACCATAAAGTAGTAGAATTATACTCAGTAGACTGATGTACCATACAGTACTAGAATTATACTCAGTAGACTAATGTACCTAACAGTTCAGAATTATACTCAGTAGACTGATGTACTTTGCAGTACTAGGATTATACTCAGTAGACTGATGTACCTTACAGTACTAGAATTATACTCAGTAGACTGATGTACCTTACAGTACTAGGATTATACTCAGTAGACTGATGTACCTAACAGTACTAGAATAATACTCAGTAGACTGATGTATCTTACAGTAGTAGAATTATACTCAGTAGACTGATGTACCTAACAGTACTAGAATTATACTCAGTAGACTGATGTACCTAACAGTACTAGAATTATACTCAGTAGACTGATGTACCTAACAGTACTAGAAATATACTCACTAGACTGATGTACCTAACAGTACTAGAGTTACACTCCGACAGTTGAATTATGTACCTTACAGTACTAGAATTATACTCAGTAGACTGATGTACCTAACAGTACTAGAATTATACTCACTAGACTGATGTACCTTGCAGTACTAGAATAATACTCAGTAGACTGATGTACCTTACAGTACTAGAATTACACTCCGACAGTTGAATTATGTACCTTACAGTACTAGAATTATACTCAGTTGACTGATGTACCTTACAGTACTAGAATTATACTCAGTGTGTCTTCTGTAGGCCTGACCCCGGTTGATCCAAAACACCAGGTGTCGAGTGAAGACAACACGCACCCGCCAACAGTGCCACCCAGACACCAGGTGTCGAGTGCAGACAACACGCACCTGCCAACAGTGCCACCCAGACACCAGGTGTCGAGTGCAGACAACACGTATGAAGAATTAAACACCGAACACCGATCTCAACGAAGCCTCGAGGATCAATGTGACTCACGACGACCTTCCGACACCGGCTCCAACCATAGTGGTTATGAGATGATCCCCGACGCAGACACACTCCGGAAGTTACGACAGCGTGCGCAAAAGCGTGCGCAGATAGGTAAGCTTGACCATTGGTGGCATGTCGGACGTAGAACAAGGTTTAATGAGGTTTGAGACATAGACAAATGAATATACGTTTTTTATTACAACTCGAGTACGATATGAATGGATACGTTTGGCTAACGTTTACAGTAAGTGAGTGTGTGAGTTGGATTTAACGCCGCTTTAAACAGTATTCCAGTTACATCACGGCGTGTCAGCTTAATGTGGGAGGAAAGCCCGATGTGATGCAGGTCTCAGACGTTTACCACCTCGGTGAAACCCACGAGCACGGGTATGGTGCTGACAAACCTAGAACCATAATCGGGGCGAACCGGGATTCGAACCCACAATCACAGGTTTCTGGCGTTCCCAAGGGACGCAACTCTGCACAGCGAATCGCGGCGCCTTAGACGACTGGGCCACACGTTCCCCCACTAACGTTTACAGGCAACGTGTGCTTTACATATAGGATTAATGTAAAGACATCACCGAGTCTATCACTGGTGCTGCTCATTTAGAGCTGTTAGGCACCACAGACTTACCTGGAGGCCTGAAAAGTATTATATTTTCAATGCAATCTGGTGTGTTTCTGTTGCAGACAATCAACCAAAACAAAAGCGGTAAGCAGCTGACGTTGAACCCATACTAAGACCTAGCAATATACCACCGCAACACGGGTACTAGTACCAGGGGAACATATATCAATGCAACAGGGGTACATGTACCACCGCAACACGGGAACATGTAACACCGCAACACGGGAACATGTACCACCGCAACACGGGAATATGTACGACCGCAACACGGGTACTAGTACCACGGGAACATATACCACTGCAACACGGGAACATGGACCACGGGAACATATACCACTGCAACAGGAGTACATGTACCACCGTAACACGGGAACATGTACCACCGCAACACGGGAACATGTACCATGGGAATATGTACCACCGCAACATGGGAACATAAACGGCCGCAACACGGGAACATGTACCACTGCAACACGGGAACATATACGAGCGCAACACGGGAACATGTACCACCGCAACACGGGAACATGTACCACCGCAACACGGGAACATGTACCACTGCAACAAGGGAACATGTACCACTGCAACATGGGAACATGTACCACCGCAACACGGGAACATGTACCACTGCAACACGGGAACATATACGAGCGCAACACGGGAACATGTACCACCGCAAACACAGGAACATGTACCACCGCAACATGGGAAAATGTACCACCGCAACACGGGAACATGTACCACCGCAACACGGGAACATGTAACACCGCAAACACGGGAACATGTACCACCGCAACACGGGAACATGTTCAACCGCAACACGGGAAAATGTACCACTGCAACAAGGGAACATGTACCACTGCAACACGGGAACATGTACCACCGCAACACTGGAACATGTACCACCACAACAAGGGAACATGTACAACTGCAAAACGGGAACATGTACCATCGCAACACGGGAACATGTACCATTGCAACAAGGGAACATGTTCCACCGCAACACGGGAACATGTACCACCGCAACACGGGAACATGTACCACTGCAAAACGGGAACATGTACCACCGCAACACGGGAACATGTACCACTGCAACAAGGGAACATGTAACACCGCAACACGGGAACATGTACAACCGCAACACGGGAAAATGTACCACTGCAACAAGGGAACATGTAACACCGCAAACACGGGAACATGTACCACTACAACACGGGAACATGTACCACTACAACATGGGAACATGTACCACCGCAACACGGGAACATGTACCACTACAACACGGGAACATGTACCACCGCAACACGGGAACATGTACCACCGCAACACGGGAAAATGTACCACTGCAACACGGGAACATGTACCACTGCAACACGGGAACATGTACCACCGCAACACTGGAACATGTACCACCACAACAAGGGAACATGTACAACTGCAAAACGGGAACATGTACCATCGCAACACGGGAACATGTACCACTGCAACAAGGGAACATGTACCACCGCAACACGGGAACATGTACCACCGCAACACGGGAACATGTACCACTGCAAAACGGGAACATGTACCACTGCAACACGGGAACATGTACCACTGCAACAAGGGAACATGTAACACCGCAAACACGGGGACATGTACCACTACAACACGGGAACATGTACCACTACAACACGGGAACATGTACCACTACAACATGGGAAATTGTACCACCGCAACACGGGAAAATGTACCCCTGCAACACGGGAACATGTACCACCGCAACATTTGAACATGTACCACCGCAACATGGGAACATGTGCCACTGCAAAATCGGTAAATGTACCACCACAACACGGGAACATGTACCACTGCAACACGGGAACATGTACCACTGCATCATGGAAACATGTACCATCACAATACGGAAACATGTACCACTAGAACATTGGAACATGTACCACTACAACATGGGAACATGTACCACCGCAACACGTATCCATGTACCACTGCAAAATGGGAACATGTACCACTACAACACGGAAACATGTACCACTGCAACAAGGGAACATGTACCACTACAACACGGAAACATGTACCACTACAACAAGGGAACTTGTACCACTACAACACGGAAACATGTACCACTACAACACGGAAACAGGTACCACTACAACACGGAAACATGTACCACCACAACACGGAAACATGTACCACTACAACACGGAAACATGTACCACTACAACCTGGGAACATGTACCACAGCAACACGGAAACATGTACCACTACAACACGGAAACATGTACCACTACAAGACCGGAACATGTACCACTACAACACGGAAACATGTACCACTACATCATGGGAACATGTAGCACCAGCAACACGGAAACTTGTACCACTACAACACGAGAACATGTACCACCACAACATGGAAACAGGTACCACTACAACACGGAAACAGGTACCACTACAACACGGAAACATGTACCACTACAACACGGAAACATGTACCACTACAACCTGGGAACATGTACCACAGCAACACGGAAACATGTACCACTACAACACGGAAACATGTACCACTACAACACGGAAACATGTACCACTACAACACGGAAACATGTACCTCTACAACCTGGGAACATGTACCACAGCAACACGGAAACATGTACCACTACAACACGGAAACATGTACCACTACAAGACCGGAACATGTACCACTACAACACGGAAACAGGTACCATTACAACACGGAAACATGTACCACTACAACACGGAAACAGGTACCATTACAACACGGAAACATGTACCACTACAACACGGAAACATGTACCACTACAAGACCGGAACATGTACCACTACAACACGGAAACATGTACCACTACAACACGGAAATATGTACCACTACAACCTGGGAACATGTACCACAGCAACACGGAAACATGTACCACTACAACACGGGAAAATGTACCACTGCAACATGGGAATATGTACTACTACAACACGGATACATGTACCACTACAACACGGAAACATGAACCACTACAACATGGGAACATGTACCACTACAACACGGAAACATGTACCACTACAACACGGAAACAGGAACCACTACAACACGGAAACATGTACCACTACAACATGGGAACATGTACCAACGCAACATGAGAACATGTACCACTGCAACACGGGAACGTGTACCACCGGAAAGACCTGAACATGTACCACTACAACACGGCAACATGTACCACTGCATTATGGGAACATGTACCACCACAACACGGGAGCATGTACCACCACAACACGGGAGCATGTAACACTGCAACACGGGAACATGTACCAACACAACACGGGAACATGTACCACTACAACACGGGAACATGTACCACTGCATCATGGGAACATGTACCACCGCAACACGAGAAAATGTTCCACCGCAACACGAGAACATGTACCACCGCAACACGAGAACATGTACCACCGCAACACGGGAACATGTACCACCGCAACATGGGAACATGTACCACCGCAACACGAGAACATGTACCACCGCAACACGAGAACATGTACCACTACAACATGGGTGCAGTGGAGGGAAGTCAATTTCTCAGAGGGGGAATACATCTCTTATACCCCGACACGAGCAATACAGGCTGCACGTGGATTTCTGAGAGACAGAATAAAGCCCTTAAACCCGCTTCAAAGCAAAACTTTTTTCGAGTCAATTGAAGTCAAGTGACATAGCATAAGTTAACCTAGGCACAATGGAACAGCTGTTCTCTCAATTTTGAATATGTGTCTATTGTTTTACAATCTCACATTAAAACGTAGGTAAGATAAATTCGTTGTGGCAGGATTACTCGGGCTACACGGGGCAGCTTCAGGCTCGTGGTATAAAACCTAACGCGGGGCGCATAAAACCCAATGTACCCCCGTCATCCTGCTGCAACTTGCAATGTAAGTTGGTGTGAAATGTGTCCTTATAACAACATTTGTGTAAGGTGATCACACACGGTCACACATCGCATGTCACACATTTCCTTCCCCACGTTGTATGAAGTCATCACGGCCTCTGTCAGACATAATATGACGTCATCACTATCTTTCTGTAAAGTTTAGCTGTACATTTCAATGTTATCTTTCTATGACAGGGAAGTAAGTTGTATATGCTTATTTTATCTTGCTATAACGCGGATATTGAGCTCTGCATATCAATAATATTTTACTGTAAGATCGAAGTTAGTTCTATATCCATATTTTAACTTGTTATAACGGAAATGTTTAGCTGTTATGCCTCAATATTATCTTTCTATAAACGGGATGTTCAGCTATGCATCTCAATATTATCTTGTTATAACGGGGATGTTTAGATGTATAGCTCAATATCATCTTGCTATAACGGGGATGATTAGCCGTATATGTCTATATTATCTTGCTATAACGGGGATCTCATCTTGCAGGCTGCTGTTTGGATGGATGGCGAAGAAAGCGAGAGGTAGGTTAACACATACATACACATGTTATATTTTCGTTACCATCCAGTCTGATAACATGATATATTGTCGTTACAATCCAGTCTGATAACAGGATATCTTTTCGTTACAATCCAATCTGATAACGTGATATATTGGCGTTACCATCCAGTTTGATAACATGATATATTGTCGTTACAATCCAGTCTGATAACGTGATATATTGTCGTTACCACCCAGTCTGATAACAGGATATATTGTCGTTACCATTCAGTCTGATAACATGATTCTATTGTCGTTACAATCCAGTCTGATAACATGATTATATTTTCGTCATCATCCAGTTTGATAACATGATTATATTGTCGTTACCATCCAGTCTGATAACGTGATATATTGTCGTTACCATCCAGTCTGATAACGTGATATATTGTCGTTACCATCCAATTTGTTAACATGATATATTGTCGTTACCAGCCAGGCTGATAACATGATTATATTTTCGTTACCATCCAGTCTGATACCATAATAATATTTTCGTTACCACCCCGTCCGATAACATGATATATTTTCATTACAATCCAGTCTGATAGCATGATTATATTTTCGTTACCATCCAGTCTGATAACAGGATATATTTTCGTTACCATCTAATCTGATAACGTGATACATTTTCGTTACCATCCAGTCTGATAACATGATATATTCACGTTACCATCCCGTCTGATAACGTGATATATTGTCGTTACCATCCAGTCTGATAACGTGATATATTGTCGTTACCATCCAAGCTGATAACGTGATATATTTTCGTTACCATCCAGTCTGATAACATGATATATTGTCGTTACAATCCAGTCTGATAAAATGATTATATTGTCGTTATAATCCAGTCTGATAACATGATTATATTTTCGTGACCATCCAGTTTGATAACATGATATATTGTCGTTACAATCCAGTCTGATAACAGAATATATTTCCGTTACAATCCAGTCTGATAACGAGTTATATTGTCGTTACCACCCAGTCTGATAACAGGATATATTGTCGTTACCATCCAGTCTGATAACATGATTCTATTGTCGTTACAATCCAGTCTGATAACATGATTATATGTTCGTCATCATCCAGTTTGATAACATGATTATATTGTCGTTACCATCCAGCCTGATAACGTGATATATTGTCGTTACCAGCCAGGCTGATAACATGATTATATTTTCGTTACCATCCAGTCTGATACCATAATAATATTTTCGTTACCACCCCGTCCGATAACATGATATATTTTCATTACAATCCAGTCTGATAGCATGATTATATTTTCGTTACCATCCAGTCTGATAACAGGATATATTTTCGTTACCATCTAATCTGATTACGTGATACATTTTCGTTACCATCCAGTCTGATAACATGATATATTCACGTTACCATCCAGTCTGATAACGTGATATATTGTCGTTACCATCCAGTCTGATACCGTGATATATTGTCGTTACCATCCAAGCTGATAACGTGATATATTTTCGTTACCATCCAGTCTGATAACATGATATATTGTCGTTACAATCCAGTCTGATAAAATGATTATATTGTCGTTATAATCCAGTCTGATAACATGATTATATTTTCGTGACCATCCAGTTTGATAACATGATATATTGTCGTTACAATCCAGTCTGATAACAGAATATATTTCCGTTACAATCCAGTCTGATAACGAGTTATATTGTCGTTACCATCCAGTCTGATAACATGATATATTGTCGTTACCATCCAGTCTGATAACGTGATATATTGTCGTTACCATCCAGTCTGATAACGTGATATATTGTCGTTACCATCCAAGCTGATAACGTGATATATTTTCGTTACCATCCAGTCTGATAACATGATATATTGTCGTTACAATCCAGTCTGATAAAATGATTATATTTTCGTGACCATCCAGTTTGATAACATGATATATTGTCGTTATAATCCAGTCTGATAACATGATTATATTTTCGTGACCATCCAGTTTGATAACATGATATATTGTCGTTACAATCCAGTCTGATAACAGAATATATTTTCGTTACAATCCAGTCTGATAACGAGTTATATTGTCGTTACCATCCAGTCTGATAACATGATATACTGTCGTTACCAACCAGTGTGATGACATGATATATTGTCGTTACCATCCAGTCTGATTACATGATATATTGTCGTTACAATCCATTCTGATAACAGGATATATTTTCGTTACCATCTAATCTGATAACGTGATACATTTTCGTTACCATCCAGTCTGATAACATGATATATTGTCGTTACCATCCAGTCTGATAACGTGATATATTGTCGTTACCATCCAGTCTGATAACGTGATATATTGTCGTTACCATCCAAGCTGATGACGTGATATATTTTCGTTACCATCCGGTCTGATAACATGACATATTGTCGTTACAATCCAGTCTGATAACAGAATATATTTTCGTTACCATCCAGTCTGATAACGAGTTATATTGTCGTTACCATCCAGTCTGATAACATGATATATTGTCGTTACCAACCAGTGTGATAACATGATATATTGTCGTTACCATCTTGTGTGATAACATGATATATTCTCGCTACCATCCAGTCTGATACCGTGATATATTGTCGTTACCGTCCAGTCTGATAACATGATATATTGTCGTTACCATTCAGTCTGATAAGGACCGTTTCCGTGGTCTTGTGGTAGAGCGTCCGCCCTGAGAGCGGAAGGTCCAGGGTTCGGTCCCTGGCCGCGTCATACCAAAAGATGTTAAAAGATGGTACTTGTAGTTACCCTGTCTGGCGCTCGGCATTATGGGGCTAAAACAAGGACTGGTCGGCTCGGACACAGTATACTGTGTCTGAGTGGGGTATTCATGTTAAACTGTGGCATGGTATCTCAGTGTGCTACCGCTATAAATCGGCATCAATCCGGACTAGTACAAGCAGCCACACAAACACACATGTGCATGCACGTCGCTATATAAGTGCAGTAATCCTGAACGCTACGTTAAACTCCATTTCACTTCTAGTCTGATAACGTGAAATGTGGGGAATGGTACCGGGGAGGGACCACGTGGTCGGTATTGAGTTTAGAGTGGATCTACAATGTCATCCCTCCAAAATGAAACAAAATGAACTAAATAGCTTTAAAACTGACGGTGTTGTGCCTAGAATTATGATTAGAATTTGAGAAATATGTTTAAGTGAGAAAACATGTGCTGTCATTGCTCTGTGTTTTCTTTTTACCTCAAAACAATAATTATAAGGAAGGTACCGTGAGCTCATCTGCATATATCTTGTTATTGGCAAAGGTATAACCTTGATAAATCGAAAAAAGGATACCATTGCTCAAACAACGCGCGCATGCGTCATAGAGGAAGTCATCTTTTAATACTCGCAGTTGCACCATGGAGAGTATCACTGAATTTTTTATATTACTATAAATCAGTTGTCAATAAAATGTATGCATTTCATAGGATTATGCATTTTATCATGTTTTATCATTTTATCATGTTTTATCATTTTATTATCAAGCTGATGTCAAGAACCTTAACCTTTATTTATCGTCAGTATGGAATACCACCCAAACTGTCATCATTAATATTGTAATCGCTAAACTTAAACGTTTCTCATACAAGCAGATACTTCTTTAATGTTTCTTTTCAATGATACAGGACTTTATCGTACGAGGGATACATGGATAACTTTAAAATAGTTATGAAAACAAACGTTTTTCGCATCACAGACATGTATCATTGACAGCAACTTACGTTAACATTGTGTTATTTTTAATTGAAGAGGAGTTTTCTATACGACAAAATTGTATGTTTCTTTATAAAGACAATGGTGCCGGAGACAAAATATTCTTATAATTTAAAGAGACCAGATGGTCGCAATGCGCCCGTGATATTTAGCTGAGTGTTTATTATCAAAAAACATAATCGTCATTATTTTGGACAATAATCGAGTTGTCATACAATCCCTTTCCTAACATACAAACACATAAATACTGTGTTTTAGCCGCATTGCCGTCAACATATTGTATAATACTGTTCCAACGTTGAGTCCCGTGAACCTCCACCGGGAGCGTGATCAGAGCATGTGTGGGGCAGTAAGAAACAGATCGCGATCGCTGTTACCCTGTGAGGAATGATGAAAGGTGCTCGATGAAGCGAACGTAAAATATTGCTTTCCCTGCGTGTTCTGCAGCATCTCTGTGCTTACCTTTTGCTACATAAAAGTGCGCCCGACAATGGGGTACCTTTATGATACCTCTAAACAATTTAAATTTCAAAAGCTTTAATAGATAGCTTCCATAATTAAGACAGTCCATACGTAGCAATTGATTCTTTTTTCACTCATATAGCACACAAAAATATATCATGCATTTTTTTATCATACTCTTTCTTTTATCTCATTCCGCCTAAACGGTGATAGACCATCCCTTTGCCGGGAGGCTTCCCCTATTATTCCTTACCATCGACGCTGATAACATGATATATACTCCCTACCATCGACGCTGATAACATGATATATATTCCTTGCCATCGACGCTGATAACATGATACATATTCCTTACCATCGTCGCTGATAACATGTCATTGATATATACTACGTAGCATCGACGCTGATAACATGATATATACAGCTTAGCATCGACGCTGAGAACATGATATATACTTCCTACCATCGACACTGATAACATGATATATACTTCCTACCATCGACGCTCACAACATGATATTTACTTCCTACCATCGACGTTGATAACATGATATATACTTCCTACCATCGACGCTGATAACATGATATATACTCCCTACCATCGACGCTGATAACATGATATATACTCCCTACCATCGACGCTGATAACATGATATATACTCCCTACCATCGACGCTGATAACATGATATATACTCCCTACCATGGACGCTGATAACATGATATATACTCCTTACCATCGACGCTAATGACATGATTTATGCTCCTTACCATCGACGCTGATAACATGATATATACTCCCTACCATCGACGCTGATAACATGATATATACTCCTTACCATCCAGCTGTGTATGTTGTGTTCAGGGAAAGCAGCGAAACAAACTGATGCTGATGTGAGTGACAAGACTCAAGTGCGTGGTGCCACAGTTCTGGGAGGTCAAGGTCACCGCTCAGAGGAATCCGACGTAGAGCGTTACCGTGATGACGTCGTCAACACCAAACCAGACCCGCTGTACGTGAATAAAGGAGACGGTGACGCCACACAGAAAAGCCAGTCCTACATTGACATGTCCAACATCGTCACCTCGGGTCCAGCGTATGAGGATATGACCGGCGATCTCCGTGAGTACATGCAGTGATGTGTCACAGAGCATGGGGATACCTGTGGTCAAGGTTGCTAGGTAACAGAGCATGGGGGTATCTGTAGTCAAGGTTGCTCGGTACCGGATCATAAAGATACATGTAGTCAAGGTTGCTAGGTAACAGTTCGTGAGGATATCTACAGGTAAGTACACTGTCTACCATGAATCATTATTCACTCTCCTTCATCGCTACATTTTTTCAGAGGGTTCAATTTCTGGACGAAAGAAATCGCATCGTCGGTCGCCAACGCTTGGAAGACAACGACACTTCCGGAAGATCGCAGAAAGCCCAGGGGCTGGTTGCTATGACAACGTAGGACCTCTCAAAACCAAAGCCGAGGAAACCGCTGACTGTAAATATACGATATGTAATTACTTACCACCATAGACACTGTATACAAGGGTTGCCGGGTTTCAGGTCTTGAGGACACACCAAGTTAGGGTCAATGGTTGCTTGGTAACATATGACGAGGATACTTATAGTTGGCCCATGTAGGAATTCCGATCTTAAAAAAGGTTCCAACAACCTATGCTGGTAAAGAAATAGGTCAAGTGGTCAGGAGGCTTGGTTGATTGCATGTCAACGTATCACGATGGCAACGTTGCGCTGGTCAAGGTTGCTAAGTAATAGGGTAATTCTTCATTCTTCGTTCTTCTCAAATGCAATTGTTTACCGTGATTGTAGCAGTGCTGTCTCTGTGTTTGCAGACTCGAATACAGAGACTCGGTCAGCCGACTCACGTTATAACGAGGAGCCGATGCAAGGGGAGGCTGACACGTCACAACAGGGAGTGGAAGAAGACAGGGTGAAGGGTAGGCAAAACAGCCTGTACAATTCACTTCTCGCTTGCTTTGAAAATTATAGTCCTGGTTGCTGCAACTACAATTCAAAGCTATTTAACACTTACACATGTACCAAGGACACAAAATATCGACAATCTTCATCGTTCATCATATCTAACCAATTGAAATGTGTCTATACGTCATTGTGTCTCTCACGCTCTACTGACTTCATTGTGTTTCTCACGCTCTACTGACTTCATTGTGTCTCTCACGTTCTACTGACTGCATTGTGTCTCTCACGCTCTACTGACGTCATTATGTCTCTCACGTTCTACTGACTGCATTGTGTCTCTCACGCTCTACTGACTTCATTGTGTCTCTCACGTTCTACTGACTTCATTGTGTCTCTCACGCTCTTCTGACTTCATTGTGTCTCTCAGACTTAACTGACTTCATGTTGTCTCTTATTTTCTGCTGATTTCATTGGGTGTCTCTCATTTTCAGCTGATCTCATTTGATTCTTTCATTCTCTGTAGATTGTATTGTGTATCTCGTACTCTCTGCTGGTCTCATTGTGTGTCTCTCACTCTCAGCTGATCTCATTGTGTGTCTCTCACTCCCTGATGATTTCATTGTGTGTCTCTCATTCTCTGCTGATCTCATTGTATGTCTCTCACACTCATCTCATTTCATTGTGTGTCTGTCACTCTCAGCTGATCTCATTGTGTGTCTCTCACTCCCTGAAGATGTTATTGTGTGTCTCTCACTCTCAGCTGATTTCATTGTGTGTCTGTCACTCTCTGCTGATCTCATTGTATGTCTCTCACTCTCAGCTGATCTCATTGTATGTCTCTCGATCCCTGATGATTTCATTGTGTGTCTCTCATTCTCTGCTGATCTCACTGTATGTCTCTCACACTCATCTCATTTCATTGTGTGTCTCTCATTCTCTGCTGATCTCATTGTATGTCTCTCACACTCATCTCATTTCATTGTGTGTCTGTCACTCTCAGCTGATCTCATTGTGTGTCTCTCACTCCCTGATGATTTTATTGTGTGTCTCTCACTCTCTGCTGATCTCACTGTATGTCTCTCACTCTCAGCTGATTTCATTGTGTGTCTCTCACTCTCAGCTGATCTCATTGTGTGTCTGTCACTCTCAGCTGATCTCATTGTTTGTCTCTCACTCTCTGCTGGTCTCATTGTGTGTCTGTCACTCTCAGCTGATCTCATTGTGTGTCTGTCACTCTCAGCTGATCTTATTGTGTGTCTCTCACTCTCTGCTGGTCTCATTGTGTGTCTCTCACTCTCTGCTGGTCTCATTGTGTGTCTGTCACTCTCAACTGATTTCATTGTGTGTCTGTCACTCTCTGCTGATCTCATTGTGTGTCTGTCACTCTCAACTGATTTTATTGTGTTTCTGTCACCTCAGCTGATCTCATTGTGTGTCTCTCACTCCCTGATGATTTTATTGTGTGTCTGTCACTCTCAGCTGATCTCATTGTGTGTCTCTCACTCCCTGATGATTTTATTGTGTGTCTGTCACTCTCAGCTGATCTCATTGTGTGTCTGTCACTCTCAGCTGATCTCATTGTGTGTCTCTCAATCTGAGCTGATATCATTGTGTGTCTCTCAATCTGAGCTGATCTCATTGTGTGTCTCTCAATCTGAGCTGATCTCATTGTGTGTCTCTCACTCCCTGATGATTTTATTGTGTGTCTCTCACTCTCTGCTGATCTCACTGTATGTCTCTCACTCTCAGCTGATTTGATTGTGTGTCTGTCACTCTCAGCTGATCTCATTATGTGTCTGTCACTCTCAGTTGATCTCATTGTGTGTCTCTCACTCTCTGCTGATCTCATTGTGTGTCTGTCACTCTCAGCTGATCTCATTGTGTGTCTGTCACTCTCAGCTGATCTCATTGTGTGTCTCTCACTCTCAGCTGATTTCATTGTGTGTCTGTCACTCTCTGCTGATTTCATTGTGTGTCTGTCACTCTCAGCTGATCTCATTGTGTGTCTGTCACTCTCAGCTGATCTTATTGTGTGTCTCTCACTTTCAGCTGATCTTATTGTGTGTTTCTCACTCCCAGCTTATCTCATTGTGTGTTTGTCACACCTGTAGTAAAGGTTGCTAGGTGACAGAGCATGATGATATCTGTAGTCAAGATTGCCAGTTAACTGAAAATGAGGATACATGTAGTCAAGGTTGCTCGGTAACGTTTCATAAGTATACATATTTTCAAGGTTGCTAGGTAACAGATCGTGAGGATATCTACAGTTAAACTCACTGTCTACCATGAATCATTATTCACTCTCCTTCATCGTTACATTTTTTCAGAGGCTTCAATTTCTGGACGAAAGAAATCGCATGGTCGGTCGCAGACCGTTGAAACACACCGACACATCCGGAAGATAGCAGAAAGCCCAGGGGCTGGTTACTATGACAACATAGGACCTCTCAAAACCAAAGCCGAGGAAACCGCTGACTGTAAATATACGATATGTAATTACTTACCACCATAGATACTGTATACAAGGGTTGCCGGGTTACTGGTCTTGAGGACACACCAAGTTAGGGTCAATGGTTGCTTGGTAACATATGATGAGGATACTTATAGTTGGCCCACGTAGGAATTCCGATCTTAAAAAAGGTTCAAACAACCTATGCTGGTCAAGAAATAGGTCAAGTGGTCAGGAGGCTTGGTTGATTGCATGTCAACGTATCACGATGGCAACGTTGCGCTGGTCAGGGTTGCTAAGCAACAGATCATGGGGATAGCATTATGAGTAGTTCTTTATTCCAAATACAATTGTTTACCGTGATTGTAGCAGTGCTGTCTCTGTGTTTGCAGACTCGAATACAGAGACTCGGTCAGCCGACTCACGTTATAACGAGGAGCCGATGCAAGGGGAGGCTGACACGTCACAACAGGGAGTGGAAGAAGACAGGGTGAAGGGTAGGCAAAACAGCCTGTACAATTCACTTCTCGCTTGCTTTGAAAATTATAGTCCTGGTTGCTGCAACTACAATTCAAAGCTATTTAACACTTACACATGTACCAAGGACACAAAATATCGACAATCTTCATCGTTCATCATATCTAACCAATTGAAATGTGTCTATACGTCATTGTGTCTCTCACGCTCTACTGACTTCATTGTGTTTCTCACGCTCTACTGACTTCATTGTGTCTCTCACGTTCTACTGACTGCTTTGTGTCTCTCACGCTCTACTGACGTCATTATGTCTCTCACGTTCTACTGACTGCATTGTGTCTCTCACGCTCTACTGACTTCATTGTGTCTCTCACGTTCTACTGACTTCATTGTGTCTCTCACGCTCTTCTGACTTCATTGTGTCTCTCAGACTTAACTGACTTCATGTTGTCTCTTATTTTCTGCTGATTTCATTGGGTGTCTCTCATTTTCAGCTGATCTCATTTGATTCTTTCATTCTCTGTAGATTGTATTGTGTATCTCGTACTCTCTGCTGGTCTCATTGTGTGTCTCTCACTCGCAGCTGATCTCATTGTGTGTCTCTCACTCCCTGATGATTTCATTGTGTGTCTCTCATTCTCTGCTGATCTCATTGTATGTCTCTCACACTCATCTCATTTCATTGTGTGTCTGTCACTCTCAGCTGATCTCATTGTGTGTCTCTCACTCCCTGAAGATGTTATTGTGTGTCTCTCACTCTCAGCTGATTTCATTGTGTGTCTGTCACTCTCTGCTGATCTCATTGTATGTCTCTCACTCTCAGCTGATCTCATTGTATGTCTCTCGATCCCTGATGATTTCATTGTGTGTCTCTCATTCTCTGCTGATCTCACTGTATGTCTCTCACACTCATCTCATTTCATTGTGTGTCTCTCATTCTCTGCTGATCTCATTGTATGTCTCTCACACTCATCTCATTTCATTGTGTGTCTGTCACTCTCAGCTGATCTCATTGTGTGTCTCTCACTCCCTGATGATTTTATTGTGTGTCTCTCATTCTCTGCTGATCTCACTGTATGTCTCTCACACTCATCTCATTTCATTGTGTGTCTCTCATTCTCTGCTGATCTCACTGTATGTCTCTCACTCTCAGCTGATTTCATTGTGTGTCAGTCACTCTCAGCTGATCTCATTGTGTGTCTGTCACTCTCAGCTGATCTCATTGTTTGTCTCTCACTCTCTGCTGGTCTCATTGTGTGTCTGTCACTCTCAGCTGATCTCATTGTGTGTCTGTCACTCTCAGCTGATCTTATTGTGTGTCTCTCACTCTCTGCTGGTCTCATTGTGTGTCTCTCACTCTCTGCTGGTCTCATTGTGTGTCTGTCACTCTCAACTGATTTCATTGTGTGTCTGTCACTCTCTGCTGATCTCATTGTGTGTCTGTCACTCTCAACTGATTTTATTGTGTTTCTGTCACCTCAGCTGATCTCATTGTGTGTCTCTCACTCCCTGATGATTTTATTGTGTGTCTGTCACTCTCAGCTGATCTCATTGTGTGTCTCTCACTCCCTGATGATTTTATTGTGTGTCTGTCACTCTCAGCTGATCTCATTGTGTGTCTGTCACTCTCAGCTGATCTCATTGTGTGTCTCTCAATCTGAGCTGATATCATTGTGTGTCTCTCAATCTGAGCTGATCTCATTGTGTGTCTCTCAATCTGAGCTGATCTCATTGTGTGTCTCTCACTCCCTGATGATTTTATTGTGTGTCTCTCACTCTCTGCTGATCTCACTGTATGTCTGTCACTCTCAGCTGATTTCATTGTGTGTCTGTCACTCTCAGCTGATCTCATTATGTGTCTGTCACTCTCAGCTAATCTCATTGTGTGTCTGTCACTCTCTGCTGATCTCATTGTGTGTCTGTCACTCTCAGCTGATCTCATTGTGTGTCTGTCACTCTCAGCTGATCTCATTGTGTGTCTCTCACTCTCGGCTGATTTCATTGTGTGTCTGTCACTCTCTGCTGATTTCATTGTGTGTCTGTCACTCTCAGCTGATCTCATTGTGTGTCTGTCACTCTCAGCTGATCTTATTGTGTGTCTCTCACTCTCAGCTGATCTCATTGTGTGTTTCTCACTCCCAGCTTATCTCATTGTGTGTTTGTCACACCTGTAGTAAAGGTTGCTAGGTGACAGAGCATGATGCTATCTGTAGTCAAGATTGCCAGTTAACAGAAAATGAGGATACATGTAGTCAAGGTTGCTCGGTAACGTTTCATAAGTATACATATTTTCAAGGTTGCTAGGTAACAGATCGTGAGGATATCTACAGTTAAACTCATTGTCTACCATGAATCATTATTCACTCTCCTTCATCGCTACATTTTTTTCAGAGGCTTCAATTTCTGGACGAAAGAAATCGCATCGTCGGTCGCAGACGCTTGAAAGACAACGACACATCCGGAAGATCGCAGAAAGCCCAGGGGCTGGCTACTATGACAACTTAGGACCTCTCAAAACCAAAGCCGAGGAAACCGCTGACTGTAAATATACGATATGTAATTACCTACCTACATAGACACTGTATACAAGGGTTGCCGGGTTACTGGTCTTGAGGACACACCAAGTTAGGGTCAATGGTTGCTTGGTAACATATGAATAGGATACTTATAGTTGGCCCATGTAGGAATTCCAATCTTAAAAAGGGTTCCAACAACCTATGCTGGTCAAGAAATAGGTCAAGTGGTCAGGAGGCTTGGTTGATTGCATGTCAACGTATCACGATGGCAACGTTGCACTGGTCAAGGTTGCTAAGTAACAGGTCATTAGGATAGCATTTTGAGTAGTTCTTCATTCTTAGTTCTTCTCAAATGCAATTGTTTACCGTGATTGTAGCAGTGCTGTCTCTGTGTTTGCAGACTCGAATACAGAGACTCGGTCAGCCGACTCACGTTATAACGAGGAGCCAATGCAAGGGGAGGCTGACACGTCACAACAGGGAGTGGAAGAAGACAGTGTGAAGGGTAGGCAAAACAGCCTGTACAATTCACTTCTCGCTTGCTTTGAAAATTATAGTCCTAGTTGCTGCACCTACAATTCAAAGCTATTTAACACTTACACATGTACCATAGACAAAATGTCGACAATCTTCATCGTTCTTCATATCTAACGAATTGAAATGTGTCTATACGTCATTGTGTCTCTCACGCTCTACTGACTGCATTGTGTCTCTCACGCTCTACTGACTGCATTGTGTCTCTCACGCTCTACTGACTTCTTTGTGTCTCTCACGCTCTACTGACGTCATTGTGTATATCACGCTCTACTGACTTCATTGTGTCTCTCACGCTCTACTGACTTCATTGTGTCTCTCACGTTCTACTGACTTTATTGTGTCCCCCCACGCTCTACTGACTTCATTGTGTCTCTAACAGTCTACTGACTTCATTGTGTCGCTCACGCTCTACTGACTTCTTTGTGTCTCTCACGCTCTACTGACGTCTTTGTGTCTCTCACGCTCTACTGACTTCATTGTGTCTCTCACGCTCTACTGACTTCATTGTGTCTCTCACGCTCTACTGACTTCATTGTGTCGCTCACGCTCTACTGACGTCATTGTGTCTCTCACTATCTACTGACTGCATTGTGTCTCTCACGCTGTGCTGACTTCATTGTGTGTCTCTCATTCTCAGCTGATCTCATGTGTTCCTTTCATTCTCTGTAGATTTTATTGTGTAGCTCTCCCTTTCCTCAGCTGATCTTATGGTGTGTCTGTCACTCCCTGATGATTTCATTGTGTGTCTCTCACTCTCAGCTGATCTCATTGTGTGTCTCCCACTCACAGCTGATCTAATTGTATGTCTCTCACTCTCAGCTGATCTTATTGTGTGTCTGTCACTCTCAGCTGATCTCATTGTGTGTCTCTCACTCTCAACTGATCTTTTTGTGTGTCTGTCACACCTGTAGTCAAGGTTGCTGGGTAACAGAGCATGATGATATCTGTAGTCAAGATTTCCAGTTAACAGAAAATGAGGAAACCTGTACTCAAGGTTGCTAGGTACCGGATCATAAGGATACATGTAGTCAAGATTGCTAGGTAACAGAGCATGGGGATACCTTTAGTCAATGTTGCTAGGTAACAGTTCGTGAGGATATCTACAAGTAAACACACTGTCTACCATGAATCATTATTCATTCTCCTTCATCGCTACATTTTTTCAGAGGCTTCAATTTCTGGACGAAAGAAATCGCATCGTCGGTCGCAGACGCTTGAAAGTCAACGACACTTCCGGAAGATCGCAGAAAGCCCAGGGGCTGGTTGCTATGACAACTTAGGACCTCTCAAAACCAAAGCCGAGGAAACCGCTGACTGTAAATATACGATATGTAAATACTTACCACCATAGATACTGTATACAAGGGTTGCCGGGTTACTGGTCTTGAGGACACACCAAGTTAGGGTCAGTGGTTGCTTGGTAACATATGATGAGGATACTTATAGTTGGCCAATGTAGGAATTCCAATCTTAAAAAGGTTCCAACAACCTATGCTGGTCAAGAAATAGGTCAAGTGGTCAGGAGGCTTGGTTGATTGCATGTCAACGTATCACGATGGCAACGTTGCACTGGTCAAGGTTGCTAAGTAACAGGTCATTAGGATAGCATTTTGAGTAGTTCTTCATTCTTAGTTCTTCTCAAATGCAATTGTTTACCGTGATTGTAGCAGTGCTGTCTCTGTGTTTGCAGACTCGAATACAGAGACTCGGTCAGCCGACTCACGTTATAACGAGGATCCGATGCAAGGGGAGGCTGACACGTCACAAGCAGACAACCGGGGAGTGGAAGACGACAGGGTGAAGGGTAAGCAAAACAGCCTGTACAATTCACTTCTCGCTTGCTTTGAAAATTATAGTCCTGGTTGCTGCACCTACAATTCAAAGCTATTTAACACTTACACATGTACCAAGAAAACAAAATGTCGACAATCTTCATCGTTCATCATATCTAACGAATTGAAATGTGTCTATACGTTTTTGTGTCTCTCACGCTCTACTGACTTCATTGTGTCTCTCACGATCTACTGACTTCATTGTGTCTCTCACGCTCTACTGACTTCATTGTGTCTCTCACGCTCTACTGACTTCATTGTGTCTCTCACGCTCTACTGACTTCATTGTGTCTCTCACGCTCTACTGACTGCATTGTGTCTCTCACGTTCTACTGACTGCATTGTGTCGTTGACGCTCTACTGACTGCATTGTGTCTCTCACGCTCTTCCGACGTCATTGTGTCTCTCACGCTCTACTGACTGCATTGTGTCGCTCACGCTCTACTGACGTCATTGTGTCTCTCACGCTGTGCTGACTTCATTGTGTGTCTCTCATTCTCAGCTGATCTCATGTGTTACTCTCATTCTCTGTAGATTTTATTGTGTATCTCTCCCTCTCCTCAGTTGATATCACTGTGTGTCTCTCACTCTCAACTGATCTCATTGTGTCTCTCAATATCAGCTGATCTCATTGTGTGTCTCTCACGCTCAGCTGATCTCATTGTGTGTCTCTCACTCTCAGCTGATCTTATTGTGTGTCTCTCACTCTCGACTGATCTCATTGTGTGTCTCAATCTTACCTTATCGTATTGTGTGTCTCTCACTCTCAGCTGATTTCATTTTGTGTCTCTCAATCTCTGTTGAATTAAATATGTGTGTCTCTCTCTGTGGTCTGATCTCAGTATTGTCTCTCACGTGTGTATTACGGACAACACACTCCATCATGCACTGGCTCCTACCCGACGTGATTGTGTTCTTGTGTTGCAGAGACACATCTTCCCGAGGGGGACACAACGTCAGCCTAGCAGAGTTTCTCAGCACTAGACAGAATGTCTCATTCTAGACAGAGTATATCACCACTAGACAGTGTATCTCACCAATAGACAGAGTGTCTCAATACTAGACAGAGTATCTTACAATTAAACTGAGTATCTCACCACTAGACAGAATATCACACCACTAGACAGATCTCACCGCTAGACAGAGTATCTCACAACTAAACTGAGTATCTCACAACAGAGAATCACACCACAAGACAGATCTCCCCACAAGACAGAATATCTCACCACTCAACAGAGTAATTCACCACTGGACAGAGTATCTCACAACTAAACAGAGTATTTCACAACTCGACAGAGTATCTCACTACTAAACAGAGTATTTCACAACTCGACAGAGTGCCTCACCACTAGACAGAGTAATCTTACCAAAAGACAGAGTGTCTCACCGATAGACAGGGTGTCTCACCACTAGACAGAGGTGCTCACCACTAGACAGAGTCGTTCACCACTAAACAGAGTATTGCACCACTAGACAGTTTCCTTTCACCAGACAGAGTATATCACCACTAGACAAAGTCTCTCACAACTAGACCGAGTATCACACCACTAGACAGAGATTCTCACCACTAGACAAAGTATCTCATAACTAGACAGAGTATCTCACCACTAGACAGATAATCTCACCACTAGACAGAGTATCTAACCACTAGACAGAGATTCTTTTCACTAGACAGAGTATCTCAGCACTAGACAGGGAGTCTCACCACTAGACTAAGTAGCTCAGAACTAGACAGAATATCTCACCAATAGACAGAGTGTCTCAATACTAGACAGAGTATCTCACAACTAAACTGAGTATCTCACCACAGAGTATCACACCACAAGACAGATCTCCCCACAAGACAGAGTATCTCACCACTCAACAGAGTAATTCACTACTGGACAGAGTATCTCACAACTAAACAGAGTATTTCACAACTCGACAGAGTATCTCACTACTAAACAGAGTATTTCACAACTCGACAGAGTGCCTCACCACTAGACAGAGTAATCTTACCAAAAGACAGAGTGTCTCACCGATAGACAGGGTGTCTCACCACTAGACAGAGGTGCTCACCACTAGACAGAGTCGTTCACCAGTAAACAGAGTATTGCACCACTAGACAGAGTTTCTTTCACCAGACAGAGTATATCACCACTAGACAAAGTCTCTCACAACTAGACAGAGTATCTCACCACTAGACAGATAATCTCACCACTAGACAGAGTATCTAACCACTAGACAGAGATTCTTTTCACTAGACAGAGTATCTCAGCACTAGACAGGGAGTCTCACCACTAGACTAAGTAGCTCAGAACTAGACAGAGTATCTCACCAATAGACAGAGTGTCTCAATACTAGACAGAGTATCTCACAACTAAACTGAGTATCTCACCACAGAGTATCACACCACAAGACAGATCTCCCCACAAGACAGAGTATCTCACCACTCAACAGAGTAATTCACCACTGGACAGAGTATCTCACAACTAAACAGAGTATTTCACAACTCGACAGAGTATCTCACTACTAAACAGAGTATTTCACAACTCGACAGAGTGCCTCACCACTAGACAGAGTAATCTTACCAAAAGACAGAGTGTCTCACCGATAGACAGGGTGTCTCACCACTAGACAGAGGTGCTCACCACTAGACAGAGTCGTTCACCACTAAACAGAGTATTGCACCACTAGACAGAGTTTCTTTCACCAGACAGAGTATATCACCACTAGACAAAGTCTCTCACAACTAGACAGAGTATCACACCACTAGACAGATAATCTCACCACTAGACAGAGTATCTAACCACTAGACAGAGATTCTTTTCACTAGACAGAGTATCTCAGCACTAGACAGGGAGTCTCACCACTAGACTAAGTAGCTCAGAACTAGACAGAGTATCTCACCAATAGACAGAGTGTCTCAATACTAGACAGAGTATCTCACAACTAAACTGAGTATCTCACCACAGAGTATCACACCACAAGACAGATCTCCCCACAAGACAGAGTATCTCACCACTCAACAGAGTAATTCACCACTGGACAGAGTATCTCACAACTAAACAGAGTGTTTCACAACTCGACAGAGTATCTCACTACTAAACAGAGTATTTCACAACTCGACAGAGTGCCTCACCACTAGACAGAGTAATCTTACCAAAAGACAGAGTGTCTCACCGATAGACAGGGTGTCTCACCACTAGACAGAGGTGCTCACCACTAGACAGAGTCGTTCACCACTAAACAGAGTATTGCACCACTAGACAGAGTTTCCTTTCACCAGACAGAGTATATCACCACTAGACAAAGTCTCTCACAACTAGACCGAGTATCACACCACTAGACAGAGATTCTCACCACTAGACAAAGTATCTCATAACTAGACAGAGTATCTCACCACTAGACAGAGTATCTAACCACTAGACAGAGTATCTAACCACTAGACAGAGTATCTCACCAATAGACAGAGTGTCTCAATACTAGACAGAGTATCTCACAACTAAACTGAGTATCTCACCACCAGACAGAATATCACACCTCTAGACAGATCTCACCGCTAGACAGAGTATCTCACAACTAAACTGAGTATCTCACCACAGAGTATCACACCACAAGACATATCTTCCCACAAGACAGAGTATCTCACCACTCAACAGAGTATTGCACCACTGGACAGAGTATCTCACCACTAGAAAGAGTGTTTCGCCACAAGACAGAGTCGTTCACCACTAGACAGAGATTCTTTTCACTATACAGAGTATATCACCACTAGATAAAGGTTCCTTTCACTAGGCAGAGTATCTCACCACTAGACAAAGTATCTCATAACTAGACCGAGTATCACACCACTAGACAGAGAGTCTCACCACTAGACAAAGTATCTCATAACTAGACAGAGTATCGCATCACTAGACAGAGTATCTCACCACTAGACAGATAATCTCACCACTAGACAGAGTATCTAACCACTAGACATAGTGTTTCACCACTAGACAGGTATCTCACCCAACAATACTATAGAGGCTTTGAACTGTTATCTTGAAGATTTGTATCAAGTTAGATGTATACTGTGTACTGATATCGCGAAGCTTTGTATGAAGTTGGGTGTTTACTGTGTACTGATATTGCGAAGCTTTGTATCAAGTTACATGTATACTGTGTACTGATATTGCGAAGCTTTGTTTCAAACTAGATGTATACTGTGTACTGATATTGCGAAGCTTTGCATAAAGTTAGATTATACTGTGTACTGATATCGCGAAGCTTGGTATCAAGTTGGGTGTTTACTGTGTACTGATATCGCGAAGCTTTGTATCAAGTTACAGGTATACTGTGTACTGATATCGCGAATCTTTGTATCAAATAAGATGTATACACTGTACTGATATCTCGAAGCTTTGTATCAAGTTAGATGTATACATTGTACTGATATCTTGAAGCTTTGTATCAAGTTAGATGTATACATTGTACTGATATCTCGAAGCTTTGTATCAAGTTAGATGTATACCGTGTACTGATAACGCGAAGCTTTGTATCAAGTTAGATGTATACTGTGTACTGATATCGCGAAGCTTTGTATCAAGTTAGGTGTATACTGTGTACTGATATCTCGAATCTTTGTATCAAGTTAGATGTATACATTGTACTGATATCTCGAATCTTTGTATCAAGTTAGATGTATACTGTGTACTGATATCGGGGAGCTTTGTATCAAGTTAGATGTATACTGTGTACTGATATCGGGGAGCTTTGTATCAAGTTGGGTGTTTACTGTGTACTGATATCGGGGAGCTTTGTATCAAGTTAGATGTATACTGTGTCACTGTAGATGCTGCATGCAAACGGAGTTTTGATATATACTGAACCGCAACAGAAACGTCACTATGGATAGATATAGGAGAAACCTTTTTTGTCCAAACACTGAACACGTACTTTGAGACATATTACAAAGATGAACTTGGCGAAACTGATCATCAAGGTTGAAATTAAAGTGTCAAATGTTCTTAAAGTGAAACATAACACTCGTCTCTGAGAAAATGGCATCACAAGTCAGTATCTCGTGTGTCCGCCAGTACATTGATGACTTCCGTGCAACGTCGATACATGGAATGGATGAGGCGGTTGCTGAAGGCCACAGATACTTGAGCCCACACTCTGAGGAACGCCTGACGCAGTTCAGCTGCAGTTGTCGGCATTTGTCGGGCGTCATATAGCCGTCTCTGAATCTCGTCCCACAGGTGCTCAATCGAATTTAAATCGGGACTTAGGGCAGATCACTGCATGGTTCTGATGCCATTCTGCTGGAAGAAGTCTCTTGTTGCTCTCGCAGTGTGGACACGGGCGTTATCATGCTGAAACTCGTGGTTGCGGCGACGTGCCAAATGAGGTATGGCGTGTGGTCTCAAGACTTGATCAATGTACCGAGCTGCTGTGACACCATTTCCTCTCCCTGGACCGATGTTCTCGAAGACCACAGGGCCGAAGACCACAGTGCAAGACCAATTCCACCCCACACAATATGATACTCGGACCACCCAACGAGCGATCTTGAAGATGCTGTCGCACAATCTGACGATCCTGACGTCGAGTGGTGAGCCTTGGTCTTCCACTACTTGGTCGGTCATCTGTAGTTTGGGCGATCGGTTTTATTGTCATCTGCGTTGTTTTTTTTTTATAATCAAATTTCATTTTTCCGGACAAGGTTATGTTAAATTTGAGAAACTTTGACAAAAATGACCCAGATATTTAAATGACAACTTTTCATGCAATGTTACTTGTGGTGACGTTTCTTTTGCGCTTCAGTATATATAATCTTTGTATTTAGTCCCTTTGTGCTGTTGATTTTTTTACTGGCCTGATTTTAACATCCAGGACTTTGCAGATCAAGACCTGTGTTTGATGTTTTAGACTGTGAACCGTACTGGTACGTTGTTGCATATGAATGGCACACTGTAGCACCAGTTGACCTTCAGTATGTTTG